TTCTCTTTCTCTCTCTTTCCACCCCTCTCCTTTCTCTCTGTCGCACAGTATGTCGTCAATTTCACAATGCGAGTGGTTTTGTCCAATTCTAGTGTATATGCTTCATCACTCAGTCAAAAATTCAGAAAGAACCTACTACATTAAGTCACATAATACATAATAATTTTTTTTATAATGTTGTTCTGGTAAAACGAAAACCGCATGATCCACGTAGAGCATGGTGTAGGTCTATAAAGCACGCTGACTGTGTTTTCTTTGAACTTTTTTTCTGCACTGCTGCACGACATTAAAGTTGAACTGCACTTTAAAATGAGATAATGTGGGTGGTTGGCGGGTGCTCTGGTGTGGTTTGCTTCTTCTTTCCTGTCCAACATCTATCGTCTTTATCTCCCCTCCTTCTTTTTTGTGTTTGTTACTCTCTTGTAACACTTCCAATCTTCGGCACTTATATGACCTTATTGTGTTGCAAGTGCCGTAAAACTCTTACAAAAACTTTAAAAAACTATTTTTTTAAAATGAGATGACTTTTTACTATTACACATTATTATGTAGCATACAACTTGGAACACGTCAAACAGCATACATGACACAGGACAACAACACATTATTTTTTAGGTAACGAACTAATTCAAAAAGCATTTTTACAACACAGTGACTTAGTGTACTAGGGTGTACTAATTACAAAAAGAAAAATTCCTGCAGGAAAACACGACTTGTATAATTGTGCTCTTTCTGTGACTCTTTGCTCGAATCACGCATTTTGCGCCAGTAGGCGTCTTCAAACATTTCTTTTTTTACACTGTTTCGGTAATCGTTGATTTTATTTTTAAAATGACAAACAACACATTTTAACGTGGGTGTTTTACGATCACGTTGACACAATTTAGATCATTTAGGGTCCGCCCGGGCTGAGAGAGATATAGTGTTCCAGGAGAAAAACTGAGATATTCAATAAAAATTCTCAGCACATGCAAAAATCGAACTCAGTCTCATGTGGGCGATAGAAAAAGCATCTTTCCACTTCACAATAGACGCCGATTGGGGGGGGG